TTATTATAGATTGGCCGCACTTCTTTTGGATTAAATTTTCTAAGATCTATCTCTCCATTTGAGAGATTGATTAGGAAGCTTGGACAATAACCAATAGTGTTAAGAATGCATTAGGGGCATTCGAGAGAAAAATTCTTCAATAGTTCTATGGACCCTTATGCATTGGTAAGGAGTATCAATTTAGATGAAACGATGAGCTGCATGAGTTGTACCATTCGCCTCAAATTGTGTTTGATTCAATCTCGCTAGCGAAAAAACGATTAGAGGACATCCGCAAATTTGGTGGAAGGAGCAGATAACCAACAATATAAAGGCACTCGGTACTACCAACTGACGACAGTAAGTCACTGATCGCGTTAATTTGAGCAAGCTACTGGACGCGGGTAACGACGATTTACGTCTGTGAAGACGTGACGAATTGCAAACTATGTAAGTAAATTACTTAAAATATATTAAAATAAAAACTAATTCCGATTGGATTCTTAATAATAACAGAATAATTTAATATGGGCAAATTAATGCACTTGAGATTACTTGCGGTATTATAACACATTACTTTTTGACAGAATTTTTTAACTATCTATTTAAAAATTTTGTACGGAATTCTTCTAATTCTTCGATTTTTGTAGACGATTAAAACGGAATACCCTCCCATCAAAGCATTTCCCATAATGCCTTCAACCATTTTTTTTGGAATAATTTATTGAAATAAACTCGTGATTTGTGTAACGATAAATCTGACTAAAATATTACCGCTTATCGTGTTTATCGATAAGTTAAATTTTTGATTGTTTTTCAATTTAAATTAATTCTTCATTTTACTGAAATAAATCGCTTCTTAATATCCGATATGAACATCTCTAGGAATTATTATTACGGTTCATTTATTTAGATAAAATTTTTTATTGTTGTTATATATATTTAAATTTGCCGATACTGTCAGTTTTTTATTAAATTGTTATTTTACAGATACAGTACAATGTAAACTGTACAGTTTTAGTTATATTGAAAAATAAATAAGGTTATATAAAACGTATGAAATGCCTATTAAAATTAATAAAATACAAATGTAACAAATTTTAAAAAAATAAATTGAATTAATAAATTATTCATATTTATTTTTATATATCATACTAAATATAGTTTTATAATTATTAGTTTTTTCTAATGCTTCTGGAAATTTTTATTTGTACTACTTTTATGAATCGTGGTGAACTTTATTCACTTGTACTCAAATCATCAATTAATAAATACACCACCATCATTAGTTATTTTACGTACAAAGGAAAAAGTGATGGCAGAGATATAATAAATTTATATCTCTGATTATAGTGCATTATATATATTTTTAAAAAATTTAAAATACGATATAGTAGACTTAAACGAACTGTGTAAATAAATAGAAAATAAAGTGAATTGTGTTTTCAATATTTAAAACAAATGTTAACCAATAATACTCAACAATACAACATAATTTTGTGGTTTTGTCAGTTAAAAGAAAGGAAAAGCTAATTTAATTTTAAAAACTGTAAGTGTTTTATCTTTAAATTAATGTTTAAATTATGTTTTCTAATTACGAAAAGAACGTATATAGCTTTATTTGCTGCGCATTTTAGTTTTTTTTTCTTTGTTTATCTGCATTGTTTTCTTGCGTTTTAGGAATTTCTTATTTACAATCTTTTTAAATGCTGTGTTGCCACCTTATTGCGTTGAGCCAATGAAGCTACGCATAACTTTTTAAATAAATTTGGAGTAATGGCTATTAGCAGAATAATGATCATTATTATTAATATATTTTCATAATAATAATGATCAGATTTATTTTTAATTTCAGTTAATTTTTTATAATGAAAGGTAGATTGTTATAATTTAAACTGTTTGATCTATACGATGAGCCATTTACCTGTACTACCTTACCTTTCTAGCATTTATAAATTTATATTTATTTATTTACTTATTTTTTATACGCTGTTTATTAAGAAGGTTGTGTTCTATTGATGGAGGGAGTAGTCGTTTTGTAGAAATATGTACTTACCAATATTGATTTTATTTGCTTTACAGAAATCATAAGTTAAAGTTAAATAATGTTTTATTTTCTTTAGTTTGGTTTATAAATAGCATATAATACAGTAAACAACTGAATTTGTGTAGAACATAATATTTTCTATTCAAATTTATTAGATATTCAATAATTACTACATTTTATATATGTTAAATGCAACATATATAAAAATATATAATGTATGAATTATAGTATTGTGTAGATTGTGTTAAAATTTAAGTATAATCTGTAATGCTTAAGATAATTTGATGTTCAAATTGTTTTTCTTTTTTTTTTAATTTTTCAAAATTTAATTGGTTTCAATAATTTATAACAAACATATTTTGAGTAGATATTTATAATTTAGTCCAATTTTTATTTTGCACTATATGTACAAAAACAACTCATAAAGCTCATTAATAAACTTTTACTTTTATGCTAACTGTTTAGCTTGATATATATGTATATAGTATATAATAAAATTAATTTTTTTAATTTTAAAAATGTGAACGCTCAGATAATAACAGTTTTCTATTAAATGTATCAGTGTTCACCTCAGAATCTTATATAGTAATTATCAATATTGCATATTATATTTTATTAATTTATTTCAGTTTATTTGTTTATAATATATATTCATGCAAAATTTGTATATGATGTGCCGTATTTGTTTATTTGCACGTGATGTAGTGTGTCGTTGTAATGTTTTGTTTGTTAATCTGGCAATATATTCCCCATTTTTTAATTCACCACACCTGCAAAACATCAACTTACGTCAATTGCGTTCCTTTTTATGTATTGCTTCGCCTTAAAAATCGTAGTCTCGTTTTTTTGTTTGTGAAAATAATCCTCGAATTCCAGTTTTTACTTTGTTCAATAAGAATTAAATATATATCAAAAATCATACATATTTTATATTATTGAAATTATTAAAGTGATGCAAAGGAGTCTATTATAGATAAATATAAAAAAAATTAATTGTAAGTGAAAGCAGACTGCAAAGTTGTAGAAAACGATGTAGAAAATTGTTACTCAACTAATTGAAAAAGTCATTGAAGCACCAATACTAGTTTAAGGCAAATAATTTTTAAGGGGCGGTGTGCGGAGAAAACCAGTGATGTTACCTTTTTTCAAATACGTTTTCAGCTGATTTGACAAAATAATGGAAAAAGTGACGCAGCTGGAATTTTAAAAATAATTTATTTAATTAGCGTTTGAAAATCGGATACTTATTGAATTATCTGTTTTTAGCACTAAAACAAGAGGAAATTTCTGAATTTTATTTTTGAGAGTTGGTTGACGCTGGTTTAAGCGAATGAACGCCTTCATGTCGTGATAAGAACACAATCCGCGCTTGACCCCAGACCTAAATTCCTCTTTTATTAATTAAAAGATTATTGATAGGGAAATTATTTGCATTCTCTAATTTAGTTGGTAATAAATTTGTAAATATGCTGGTACTAATAAACTAATTCACTAAGCGTAAGGCTTCTTGGTTTTCTGTAAATATTAGTTTACAAAGACCTTCATTGTTATTAAATATTTAATAAGAAAAAATATATATATTGGCTTACAAACTGTCGACTTAACAGACTTTTGATAATAATTTTTGATGATTCAGTGACATTTTGTTTATATTTACTCTTTGTTGTTTTTATTTAGTTGAACTGATCACTTCATGACTCACTGGTTGATTGGTCATGTAGTTTTATCAAACTTAAAAATTAATTGACAATTACACTTCTTCCGTTTTACTCTGTTTATATAAAAAAACAACGGGATTAAAGGTTTACATTAATATTTACGAAAAACAAACTTCATTTCAGTTTTGCATTAGAATTGGAATTATAAATCTTTCCATTTATAAATAAACAAAAATCTTAACTATGTCGACACGCAAGAAGTCTTTGCTTAAAGTCATCATACTGGGAGATAGTAGCGTTGGCAAGACATCGCTAATGAATCAATATGTAAATAAACGCTTCTCAAATCAATACAAAGCCACAATTGGTGCTGATTTCTGTACAAAAGAAGTTGTTGTCGATGACCGAGTGGTGACAATGCAAGTAAGTCTATACATCCCCTAATAAAATATTGCTTAAAGTAACGTTTAACATGTTTGGAACTTTTTAGATATGGGACACTGCTGGTCAGGAACGCTTCCAGTCATTAGGTGTTGCCTTCTACAGAGGTGCAGATTGTTGTGTACTTGTTTATGATGTTACGGCACCAAACTCATTCAAAAATCTCGACTCATGGCGTGACGAATTCTTGATACAAGCAAGTCCAAGAGACCCTGAACATTTTCCATTTGTTGTTCTTGGAAATAAATTGGATTTAGATAATCGTCAAGTAAGTAAAGCCAAACGAATATATTATCAATTTTTTTAATAGTCAGTATCTTATCTTAACAGAAATTTTGGATATTTTTGTTTTTGCAGCTTTTGTTATATGCAAAACAACAGAGAATGCAAACAAAAGCGTTTTAAATGAAATATATAATTAAATAATTTATTATATTTTAAAAGTTTCTTAGAAAACTAAAACAATTTTTTATTGTGCAATTTTACTGCACAATTAAATTTGAACTTTGCATTATCAAATTAATTTCCTGAAGTCAGAAACAAGCTTAGTCTCTATTTGTAAAGTTCAAAAAATATTAAAAACTGTTTTCATGATTTTACTGTCTGTATTTTAATAAATTATTTCAGTTTATTAAAGCTATCTGGTTT